CGTCCCTATTTGGGAACTTTGCAGGCCGCGAGAGGACCCTACTGAGAGTGCGTGTGCAGCGTATCGAGGCGCGGGAACCCGAACGCGTCGCGAAACCAGCCCGTGCGCTCCGCAGTGCAAACCAGTGGAGGTCGGTCGACGGGACCGCCTTCCGCGCCGCGCGCGACTACGGCGGCTGCTGCGAGCGCTTCGGAGGGTCCACGAAGGTACTGCGGACGGGGCGCGACGTCGAACATCGTCCCGACGCACGTATTTCGACCGCGGACTGGCGCTCAAAGCGCGCAGCGAGACGCTGGCGGGCGAGTTCGCATCGATGACGGCGGTTCCAACGATCTCTGGCTGCTGCGGAGGCCGCCCTTGACTACCACAACACCTGCGACGCGAAGCGCACGACCCTGGGACCCGTCGACGTCCCACGACGAGCTCCACGCGGCGCTGGACCACTTCGTCGCGTCGGGCAACAAGGACGCGGAGCCGCTGGAGCGGCTGATCCGCGCGGGGAAGCTCGAGATCTCGAATCTCGAGTCGCTACCGGGCACGCCGGACTCGTCGCGGCGCCACCGGACGGACTCCGTGGCGTCCGTGGGCCTCGAGTTCGAGACGCTCATGGACCTCGACGACATGGGCGGCGCGGTCTTCTCCAGCGACATCGACGACGCGGCCGCGGCCGCGGCGATCGCCGCCGCGGGCGTCGTCCGGCGCCGCCGCGGCTCGACGGTCGACAGCACCTGGTCCTTCGACCAGGACGTGGCCTTCGAGATGGACCTCGACGGCGTCGTCGACTGCGTGGAATTGCTGCCCCAGCGCGGCGGCGCGAACACGCGGAAGCCGCCCGCGGCGAGCCGCGGCCGCGGCTCCGCGTCCCGCCGGCGGGCTTCCTCCGGCGGCGGCGGCAAGCCCAAGGGCTCCAAGGCCGCGGCCATGGCGCGCATGCGCGACGAAGCGCCCCGCGGTGCCCGGCGCGACGCCAAGGCGTCGGGCCGGAAGAAGCAGCCCGTCGCCGTCGCGCCGCCGCGGGCGAACGACGGCCAGGGCACCGCGACGCCCGCGACGACGGTGCTCGCGCAGCCCGCCGTCGGCGGCGGCGGCGTCGACCCCGACGACAAGAGCCGCGTCCTGCCGGCGACGGTGGCGGGGGCCGTGTCGTCGACGGTGCCCGCGACGACGTTGCCGCCGCTCACGGAGCTGCCCCCGGGCGCCGCGCCGGTCTACGACGCGCTCATCAACTACCCGCGCGCCAAGGCGCGGGGCGCGCGCCACTGCGTCATGTGCGGCCGCGTCCCGGGCGACCCCGCGGCCGCGCCCGCCGCCTGCCCGCCCGCCGCGCCCGCCGCGGCGCCGGCGCCCGCGCCGCCCGCCGCGCCCGCCGCGCCGGCGACGCCCGCGCCGCCCGCGACGCCCGCGCCCGCGGCGGCGCCGGCGACGCCCGCGACGGTCGCGCCGGCGACGCCCGCGCCCGCGGCGCCCGCGACGCCCGCCCCGGTGCCCATGGCCGTCGCCGCGGCGCCCGCGGCGCCCGCGGCGCCCGCGGCGCCCGCGGCCGCGGCCGTCGCCGCCGCGGCC